AAAAAAAAAAAAAAAAAAAAAGCCATAACATGAATAGTAATTTTTAAGATAGAATTGTAGTAGCAATAACAGTTTTTGCATGTATAGTAATTTGCATTAGCAAGGTTGTACAATAGAATATGTGATACTACTTGAGTTTGTGGGGCTCTGCAATCAACAGTTGCACAAAAGGAAAAAATGTTCTGGATAAAGAGCATATAAAAGGTATTTTTAGAACAGTATGAATGTATATGAATTTATCTTTGTGTGAGAAATGTCAGCTTTTGTGTAAGTTAAAGGTTAAAGACCCTATTTGTTTCCTAATTCAGAGTGTTAGAGCGTTGAAATTAAAGCTTTATAGTGCTTAACCTGAAAACAAATGTACTACAGCCCCACCGAGGCCGCTGTGTGAGTTTTTTGCTTAAGATGTTTTAGCAACAGGCATTTATTCTGTAGAGTGGTATACTTTCTGCTTTGTCTCATCTTTCTCCATTGGTTTCCTGGGTACATTTTTTAAAGGGAGATAAGTTTGTGAGTTTAATGTTTAAAATAAAACTCCCATGAACATGATAAGCTGGATTTCTCTCATGATTAGGGAATAATGATTTTAAGATGAAAGGCAGAAGGATTGAAGAGAATAGCCATTGAATGTTTGGGTGGGTGGGGTGTAAAACCTTGTCTAATGTAGATATGGCCTATGGCCTGTGACTGCTTATTTATCAAGGAGAACCCAGTAAACTAGTTTCTTGCTTGATCTGAGTAACCACACAGCTTGCATCAGGATATAATAGTAGAACTAGGGTGACTTCACTCCCTTTCACCTGATGTCTAATCCTGGCCTTTTAGCACTTTGACTATCCCTGAAAAGACTGGGTCTACATTTCCTTGTTTTCCCAGGGAAAAAACTGAAAGATAAGTGATGTAGATCTAGGAATAGTGCCTCTTTTTAATTCTTACATGACAACTAACGCATAGGGAAAAGGCTATGTTAAGTTGATTGTAGATCCACTTTAAATGTCCTATGCTGTCAGTTGGTCTTAGAGACATTGGAATAACCAAGCAATATTCAGATATCTGCACATCTGGGGACAATGTTACCTATTACAATGATGTCAACAGTTTAGTTACTTGGAACAATTAAAGATTACCCTTAACAGCCATGTTAGTAATTCTAAATGCTAAAATATACTACAAGCTTTCAGTCTTGAAAGTTTGCTGTTACTTTAAAAAGTTGTTGTGGTCTCATGTTTACTCTTCGTGTATCTGTGATATGCAAAAATAAGAAGAGACTCTTGGCCTTCAGGAGTTTACATTCTCATGGTGCTGTTGGTGCAAGCAAATTGCTTCTAGTTTATTAATGAACATTAATTGGCTATTAATTATATCCTATTTGGAAGAATCCCTTGGTGAACAGTTTTAAAAAGCAGAGAGCTGTGTTAAATTTCAGGGCATTGATGCTTGAGTTTACATTGTATTAGCCTTGCTTGTTATTTTTTTCCCAGGGAGCTATGCAGGTAATGCTCATTAGTGTGAATTAGAAAAAAACACCACCTGTGCTCTCCTGTTACAGTTGTCAGTAATGGCCAAGAAAATTTATAGCTCTTTAAACCTGTGCTCTCCTGTTACAGTTGTCAGTAATAGCCAAGAAAATTTATGGCTCTTTAAGACTGTTTTTATATAATTCTCTACTCAGAAGGGCCAGGATTTGCATATAAGCCTTTTAAAACTGATTAGTGGTCCTAATTTTAACATTTTTTGTGTATGACTCCTCTGTCTGTTCTGAAGCAGCATTGTGATAGAAGTGGAGCATCTACCTGCATTTCTAAGCAATTATTAACCCAACTTTTGAGTTGAAACTTGTATGGATCCTTGTTATTTCCCATAATTCCTCTGAATCAAGGAGTTTATTTTGCATGCTCATTAAACTAAAACTGAGCCTGATTGAAAGTGCAAGCAATAGTGGCAGGCCCATAACTCTGATTTTAGAGAACAAACATTCTAATGCATGACTGAAAATGTCCAGTGTTGTGGTTACTAGTAGTTTTATATATGCATTTATTAACAATGAAACAATAGACACTAAAACCAATAGCTTGAATTTATCAAATTTTTTTTTTTTTTTTATAAAGGATTTTTCTTCCATTGAAAATAGGAAGATAAACAGGGGCAACCATAAGACATTCAGACCGTCAGAACTAGGGCATAACAGTGCCCACCCTCTAACCTCTTGCCTGGTTCCATTAGTCCCCAAGCATGTTTGAAAACAAGACACAAACTAAGCGTGTTGAGTAAATTAGCTGCTATGGCTATAATAATCAGAAAGGTGCAGAGTTTCACAAAGAGTAGGAAATGCTAGAATGGAGTATGTAAAATAACTAGATGTGGATTTCGAGTTTGTTTATGATATGGTTTATTTACACATCTGGGATTTTAGCTGAATACAATCTGTGCGCAAGAAACAAAGTAACCCTGCAACAAGGGAGACTTCCCTTTATGTGTGGTTTAGTTTCTGTTATCGTATTGCATAAAGAATAGTTTAAACAAATTTTATAGCCAAAGTTCTACCCTTGATGGTTTTGGTCAGACTACAATTCCTTGATTAAAGCTTTTGATGCCAGGTTAAACAGGAGAAACCTTTTCCACTTTAAAAGAAGAAAATCCTTGCCATTTATTTGATGAATAAATACATTTATTGCAGTAGCTTAAAATTTTTCTTTTCCTTTTTTTTTTTTTTT